TTACTATTTCACTTATCATTGATCTTCATGATAAAAAAAATCATACTTTTATTTAGTCATTGGAAAGTAATTTTATTTTTATATATGATAAAGTATTGTTTTTTTTTTTTATCATAATACTTGTAAGGTGATTAATTTTTTTCTTTTAGGGGGTAAATCTTATAGTGTAATAAATTTTTTCTTTTTTGAGAAATAATGGTTCTTTTGTTATTAGAAAGTTAAGATATTAGATTATTAATACTTGCATAATCATGTTAGAACTTTTAGTTTCTATTAATTTATTTAATCATATTTGTAAATATTTTAAAATATTGATTTATTTTTAAAATTTAGTGTTATTATATTATTATACTATATTATAAAATAAAAATTTAAAGATTCATAGGGCTTATGCCTTACCCTATACTTAGTAAAACGTCTCGCCTCACGTCCCTGTCTTTTTAAGACATTGGCTTAATATGTTGTTATTTTGGCTAACTTCAGACTAAATGATGCTCCTTCTTTGCTTTTCCAGGAACCTCTTTTTTTTTAAAAAAAAAGAATTCATTCGATGTTGGTTGCACGCATGAATGTAACAAATTACAATCGTCAAATATCTTAAAAAAATATAAAAAATAAAGTAAAGTGGAAACACTCAATACAATTCAACAAATAGAATCGTTTGACACTTTAAAAAAAAATAAAAAATTAAAGGCACAGCGATGGATACACACTAAAGTTACTATGAAATATGAAAACAATAAATACAACCGTTTGATATCTCAAAAAATATACAAATACAATGTTTGGTACCTCAACAAAAATATAGAAATATATACTAAATACAGAAAGAGAAGAGAGGATTTGTTTGTTTGTTTGTTTTTTTACTTAGCATCTCAATAATGTCTATTGTATTTACTGTAATATAGATCGTTAATTATGTCCAAATGATAGTCATTTTTTAAAATTTTCTCATTCATTTATTCTCACTAAAAGAAAAGAGACACAAATATCCAATAGTTAACACCTCACCTATTTTTATAATATAAGTACTGTCTCTTAGCTTTTATTTTGTTTTAGCGTGTTCCAAAGAAAACGTCTATTTTTCATTTTTTATAACTTTTTAATTTCAATTTTCCTTATAACATGTTTAAGCTACTGGATCACATTTTATATATATTTAGTTTTAAATCACATAATAAAACTTTTTTTTTAATGTGAAAGGGAGGAAGAGTACTAGGTAAAACTATATATATGTCATTTACTATATACGGGCGTTTAATTGAAGAAATGTTGATTAGTGCTTTAAGAATGGACCATTCAACAAAGGTGTACCACTTTTGCTTTTGAGTTTTGCCCTTTTCTACACTAATTTGGAATATTAATTGGGTTACACTTTTATACCGAGAGGTTTTAAAGTAAGTTATTATATAAAGTCATTTACTAAAATAATATGTTTTTTTAAAATTTTACAAAACTAGTATAAACGTATTTCACAGTAACGTTTTAGGATATATTTTATTTTTTAAAAGTTGATGGCGTCAGATTGATATACGTTATTCACAGTGACGTTTTACTCCTAAAACGTTAAACGTTACTTACAGTAACGTATATCAAACTAAATGCTGTTAGTTTTTAAAAAATAAAATATACCCTAAAACGTTACCGTGAAATACGTTTATACTAGTTTTATAAAATTTTAGAAAAATATATTACTTTGGTAAATTGTTTTATATAATGACTTAGTTTGGTTAAAAAAAATTTATACGGATGAAGAAGAATTAAAGATATGCAAAAGCTTGTTACGAGTATATATTCATATACATCGAATTATATAATTTTTATTTTTAAAAGAGAAGATTCTTTGAGTCTTCTAGAAGGAAAAAGACCGGAAAGAGAAATTTATCTTATCTTTTTAAATGAAATAAAAAAATTAAAATTTATGAATCACATAATAAAAAAGTAAAACAAAAATTATTGAATTTATTCGAGCCTAACGCCTCTTTCTACGAAAGAAACATGACATGAAGGGTGATGGTCAAGTGTTCTGGCATGATTCGTTGCCATGGAAAAATCCATTTGCTTATATAATTGAAAATATTGGAGATCTCAAAGATTTTAATTGTCTTTTTATATAAATACACACAATAATATACATAATAAGCTAAGCATGAAGTCGACAACTCGTAAATATATGAGATATGTAAACTTTGCCTCAGCTAATTTTAATCTTTTGTTATTATAATCATGTAATGATAGTAGAAAACTTGTTTAAACTATTTAATATAAACTAAAATTATTATATTGATGTTTTTTCTTTTTTTCTTGACAAGAAAAATCTATAGTCGCTATCTTAGGATAGAACCCCCGCTTTTATACAATAACTCGCAAATCACATAGGAAAGGTAACTTGCACTAGGCAAGCCTGCTGCAACAAGCTCGACCCAGAAGACAAATCCCTTGCTTTCGCTAATAAGGGATTTCGAACTTGAGACCTTCAACATGAAAATCCCAAGGCCTAATCACTTTGTGTTTTATATACTGAATTTATTATGTTTACTCGAATTGATAATCTATTAAAAATGATACTCTTTTTCTATTCATTCACAAGATAAGAATAAAGTTGTACACCAATATTTTTTAATCATTTTTTTAGGAAGAAACTTTAAAGTGACGAAAAATTGTGGAGTAGATTTTTTTGTTAGTTTCCCAAACTTTATTAGTCACTACCATAATATTCTTTATAGCTGGACAAAGCTCCTACATAAAAAGGACAACAAGAAGTAAAGTTGTTTTCAAAACAGAAAGGTATAAAGAGGAGGAAAAAGGCCAAGCGATTAAATTAAAATTAAATTAAATGAGAATAAAGGCAGGATTTTGCCTATAAAATACATAAATTTCTTGTTTTTTGACAAAGGCTGACCAAACTATAGATGACTGGCCATAAAAGCAAAATGTGTGATTCAAATTCAAACGTCGATGATGTACATATTTTATGTTAAATGAGAAAACTAAACACTATTTTTTTCAAAAATCAAAAATTGATTTTATCTGTCTGATATTTTAATAATACTGTCTATCTATATTAGAATTTGATTATTTCAAATTCATGCCATGTAGGGTTCATTTAAATGAAGCATTGTGTGAATTTTCTCATGACTCAGAGTCAAAACATTTGATTAAGAAAAAAACAACTTCATTTCCTGCTCCGATTACCTTTTTTTCAATTATTAGACGGCAACTGGCATAAGATTATTCCTAGTCCATTTTTTAGTGCTGTTAAATCGATTAGTATAATTTGTCCGTTTTCGCATTTTCTTTACTGCTCGTTTGTTCAAAGAATAAGGAATAGTTATTAATTTCATAATTGGAAAATATATAAATATCTCTTTAATTTATGTCTAAAATTTTAGAGATACATTTATATTATATTAAAGTTTTATTATTCTATAAATTTATTTTATAAATAATTTTTAGAAAATGTCAACACATGAACTCACAAGATGGTGCCACGTAGGATGAAAGGGGTAGAAAATTATTTATAAAATAAATTTAAGAGATAATAAGACTTTAATATAATATAAGTGTGTCTCTAAAATTTCGGACATAGATTGAGAGAATATATGTGCATTATCTATTTTGTAATTAATTTTGATTGATTGAGATAAAATTGTAACATAATTTATTTTAAAATTATAATTTTATTTTTATCCTATATTAAGAATGACGAAGTGAGATAATAATTCTGAGAGAAGTTTGTTCTCCTATCAAATGAGCCCTCACTCTCAACTATAAAGAGATAATAATATGTACAAAAGAGAGAAACAAAATACAGCACCTTAAAAGGGCGTGCAAAAGTAAACACACTCTTAGGATCCTTTCTACTTTGTCATAATTTTTTTTTAAGTCAAATAATATGAATTTTGAAAAATATTTTAAAATATAATTTCATCATTACTGATATGAAAAAAATTTGTAATTTCTATCACTTTTTGTATAATTTTTGAATATCAAATTTTTTATTTTAAAATACTAAATTAATATAAAACTCTGAATGTTAGTTAAACTGACTCTCGAAAAATATAATGTGAGATAAAGTAAAACAAGCAAGATGGTTATAAGGAAAAATTTCTTCCTCATTAATACTTCATGTTGATTTTTCATGAAGAAGAATCATCTTTACTAAGTTGATTAGCTAATTCATCTGATTATAAAGTCAACTTCAACATTATTGTAATGACTAATGAGCATTGATTAATAATAATATGTTTAATTGAACAAATTCAAGCATTAGCCACCGATATCATCAACCCACTTGCTCTAAACCATCCATTTTTTCAACTTTATTATTTTGTGAAAATATATCTTCTTCCCATATTTTAATTAAATGTTGTTTGCAAATAATTATGCTAACTTTTGATTAATTACACTTTAAGTCAATAAAATTGATTTTTGCAACCAAAAAGAATACCCAGTTATGTTTATATGTCTGGGGAAATTTGAAAATATCAACAATTTTTTTTCTTTGTATCTTTATTTTGAGTCCCAGTAATCTAACGTTTTCGACAAAATAATTAATTTGACTCTATAAATACAAATATCTCTATAGTAGTACCAAGCAAAAACGTTTTTTTTTCTTCTCCATTAGCTTAGCAAAAGTGTGACACGGTAGTAAATCTTTAACCATGACTACAAGGAATTTGAATGTCAAAATGTAGGTAGTAGGCCAATACAGGACTACTTCACTCGTATTTTGTCAAAATATGATTCACAATAAACTATTGAACATAGACAAAAATAAGAGCAACCATTCTAGGATAATCGTATTAAGATTTGATTAATTTAAATTTGTATATTACTGTGGCTCATCGTTACCAGCATAATCGTATTAAGGTTTGATCAATCCAAATTTGTATATTACTTGACTCATTATTAAAGGGATCTCTAACCATGACTGTAATGCAGTAACAATGTATATATAATAAAGGAACGATTAAGATTTCACTATCGTTGACCAGAGATTTCATATTCAAGCCTTAATTTACCGAATGAAAAAAAGAAGACGATAAGCCAATACTATGCTTGTTAGTCAAAACTTGAAACACAACACACAACTGTACATGCCAAAAATAAGTGCAATCATGCCAGAATAATTGAGTATCTTAGAAAGGAAATTAAAAGGGGAAAAAAAGCCACTCTCATTCTTAAACCTAACTAGTGATTTGTTTTTGAGAATATCATAGTTCCAAACAACAACCATATTGAACATGACCACTATATTCGTTAGGAGTTTCTACTTTTGTCCATTTTTTCACTTTGCCATCACTCTCCGCATCCAAATCCAAAGCATAACTACTATAGACTTCATCAAATGGACCCCTTCCCACCAATATCAACTTCCCTTGACACGCTGTCAAATATGCCACGCTGGCAATCCCTGCTGGCAATTCCGCCAACTTCCGCCACGTATGATCTTCCTTCACTGCCACGTCACCTCCTCGGCACATGTATAATCTCCCATCATCACCTTCAACGCAACTTTGAGGAGAAGTGTTGATCACACTCAAGAAGTCATCTTCCAGTCGCCACTGCCACGTGGCGGTGTCGAACACCTCAGCGTCATTCTCAAAGTGACCTTGCGCCCACGTAGGATAACCGCCGATGACGTGGAATTTACCTTTGTGATATACAACCTTACATTCGTCTCTCTCCATGACCATATCAGGAAGTGTAACCCACTCGTCTTTAACGACGTCGTATGAGAGCGCTGATATCAAAGCATTCTTTTCGTCGTCGTGGCCACCGGCGACGACGATCATTCTATCGGAATCCGATCCACATCCGAAGAACGACCTCTGCTGACCTGGCATATCCGCCCCACGACGCCATGACCCGGATATGAAATTGTAAATGAAAACACAATCCATAACCCGCCAGGTAACCGGGTCACACCCGCCAATTACTACTAAATCCGACCCGACTCCAACAATCCGGCAAAACCTCGGCAATCCATCAATTAACTCCGGTATCGGCGGCAAATCGTACCAGGACCCGTTTCCCGGGTCAGAAACGGAGATACGGTAAACCTGAGTAGAAAAAAGAGCAGTATCACCCTCTGGTTTTTTCACAGTAGCCACCATAGATTGCACCATGACTAAAACGGGTCGGGTCAATCCAGAAAATTTCCGCCGGCGACGAAACTCCGGCGACGTAATCTCGCCGTTCCATTTTTTGCATACTGAAGCTGCTTTAGAAAATTGATCCACAGGTAGACGTATGAGACATTCAAGAGCTATTTCATTAGGTAGCCCCGGGATGAAGTCCATGGCTGTAGCTTGCATTTTTTGTATTTGAAGTAATTTTAGTTATGGTTTTTCCTTTTTCAGATTTATGACATTATTGATGGAACGTTGGTTTGATAAAACCGTAAGCGTGTATGGGTGCAGGTTTATAGTGTTTGTTGCGGATGGATAAATGAGTAGGGACACAAAAAAAAAAAAAAGTTTTACTCTGTGAAGTAGCAGTAGGGGCAAAGGAGACTTTTTCAGAGTAAAATACAAGTAGCGCAACTTGGTGAATACGGCTATAATCAAAATTATATTAATATTTTTATAAACTTACGGGCATATCATGTCTTGCGATTGTCACGTGCCATGACATCGTGTTTTAATTGATACAATTTGTGTTTTAATTGATACGATCGGTATAGAATTACAACTAAATTTTTACTACTTATCTAACCTAGTAGAAAAAGAATTTCGAGTTATGAAATTTTTAGTATAAATTATTAAAAACAAAATAAAATAATAAATTTATTTTTTAAAATTTTAATGGATAAAATTATTGGATGCTATGTCGAATGGAGGTACTACTCATTTGGAGAACATTAAACGCTGGATATGAATAATTTTCCAGTGGTTCCGTAGTCTTGGCCTTTCGTTAATAATTATTGTTGCTGTTGATAATATATTTATACCTTTCTGGCCCCATTCGTAATGTTTACTGTCTAATCATTGTTTAAAACTATTTATGTTTACTTATTTTATGTAATACATTTTCTCAACTTATTTCTTACCAATAAATAATCAATCAACTTTATTAAGAATCGACAAGTTAAGAGTCCAGAGTCTAAAGGGTATAAAATATTAATAAAAATTTTAAAATGGTAATATAAATTTTTATATTAATTAAAACGGCAAAAACGCTGAAACAACAGCGAATTCCTCAGCCGAAAAAATCAAAATCACTGCTAATACTCAAAAAAATGAAAATCCTGCCACATGGCGATTTTCTTTTAAAAAAAAATTAAAAATTAAAAATTTTCTTTTAAAAAATCAGATTTTGCAAATTTGCAGCGATTTTACTTTTTCCGGCGGAGGAAATCGCTATTGTTCGAGCGATTCTACCGTTTTGATTAATATAAATTTTATATACTGTATTAAAAATTTTGTTAATATTTTATACCTTTAGACTCTGAACTCGACAAATTAATATATTTAATTAATTTTCTTCTACAAATACAAAAGCAACAAAAAATTTACTGAATTAATCCAAATTCACAAACCCTCACTTAACTCTTTCCCTAATCCCATCATTTGTTGTTTACACTGGCTTGGTATTTAACTATTCGAACACGTTCGGCATCAAATACGTTAATGATTGATACTTTATAACCATTTTGTTTAATGACAATTCTAGAGTCGTGGTATAAGATGGGTCTCAATGATTAATAAGACAATTCTCTTGTAGAAAAATATTACAGAAAAACTAGTAACTTTAAAATAAAATAACGGAGATAATAATCCGGTAAAATTGACTTTATACTAGTGCCTATATCCGGTAAAAGTTTTCATAATTGGTTATTAATCTTTAGCGATAAATTATAGTATATATTAATTATCGCGCTAAATATATTTTTTAAAGATAAATAACACTTTTAGTAAATATGTCTACAACCTCTAAAGATAAATATCCCCTTTTCTTTTCTTCGTGCCCTATTCAATGTTTAATTATATTAGGCATGTTTCAGCATGCTGCTTTGAGATTTTTGAATATCAAATCTAACATAATTTAATTAAATTTTGCCGGATCTATACGAAATCAAAACGGTCATATATTCTAGGATGATTCAACTTTGATAAGTTGAAAACATATTAACAAATTTATTATATTGTATATACAAGCTTAGTCTAACTTCGTTATTTTCCACATGATACATTCTTAATCTTAGAATCTAAGCTATTAGTTTTCATCACTTCAAGTGATGATGCTTTCATAAATGTTGACATTGAAGAATTTATAATCTAATTCATATATATATATATATATATATATATATATATATATATATAAGAACATGGAATTAAGTAACTAGTCTTTTCATTAAAATAAGATGCAATGCAAAAAAATAACTATGCTAATGAAACATGACAACTATGTTAACAATATTTTACAAGGTATTTGTTGAATGTATCTAAAGTTTATTTCACAATATCTAAGTGAAATTATAAATTAAAAAAGAGAGAAACAATTTAGATATATTACATCGAAAGGTTGTGCCTTCTAGTAGATTAAATATTTGCGCATGAAAGTAAACATGTGAGATCAGAAGTGGTACGTATAATTTGAGATTGCATATGTGTTGTTTTTTAATTAATTCGATTAAAAGCAAAAAAACGTTCTCTCTAAAAGAAAAAACAATCACGTTTATGGTTCAAGTTTGAAAATTCTGTAATTAGGGCGGAAGTTCCTTCTACTTTTTCTAAGTCTCAATAAACGAAGCTATAGCTTATTTAAATAATAACACTACAGATAATTTATGAAATATTTGTTTTAAGTGTGGCTATATGTATATAGAGAATTAGTTATCGATAGATCAAACTGATTGTTATCTCTTTTTTTTTCTTTAAAATTTTATCGATTTCATCACGAAAAATATGTTCAAAGGGTCATATAACATTATTAACAATCCATTTTGACAATATTATATCCACCTTTTGTTCAACAAAATTATATAACTACAATTTTTTGGGCATGAGTGTCCCATCATATACGTAGACTTCATATTAAATAAACCAATTGGAGTTACGCAACATCTTGATTAATCCCTGCCTATTTGTTTAAATTAATTATCAGTTGAAAATTAAGACATCAACTATTTTACACGTTATCAAATTCGTCATCACAAAATAATTCCTTACACTAATTAATCTAAAAAAATGCATGCCCACTAGACAAAAATTGTTGCTAAACGAAAATAAAAAAAAATCAATCTACTTGAAGGGTAAAACGTGCTAAAATGGGAATATTATGCAAAGTAGCAAATAATCTGCCTATGTTAGGTACTATAGCTGAAGTTTACAAAATTATAGTCCGCGGCTAAAGTTTTGTCAATTCTTTCTATTCCTTTGATTTGTATAAATTCAGAATTTATGTAATTTAAATTCTAATTGTATAATTCTAGAATTTTGTCTATGCTAACTCTGGCTATTTCTATAAGATTTATGAAAAATTCATAATGAATTACTCAACTGTATATTGGCAAACGAATATACAAAAGAAATTTTGGAAAATCATAAATGTATAAATACATAATTCACATATATTTATTCTGTTTATATATTCGCAAGCGAAATATACAAACGGATAGAAATGTACAAATTACAACCTTCATAACAAATAAAACTATAATTATGAATCAAAATTATGGAAACTTTATATATATATATATATATAGC